AAAAAAATTTAAATTAATAATTTTTTTTATTAATTTTATTTTAATTTTATAAATATTAACTACATTTCCTGTATACCGAATTGTGGGTTATTTCCCTTTCTGAAAAGGATGTCTGTAAGCGTGCTGAATTGATATAATCTTTCAATTATAACCTAAATAATTTTCAAACATCAGTTTGTTTATAATACATGATNATTTCTTTACAGCAATATTCGTAATCATGCACGAAAATTGTCAGAAAAATTTCAATCGCCATTTCAAGATTGTGTACACTTTGATTTTCTTACAACTTGCTGCTCTTGGTATTTTACTTTATTCTTTTTATATCCGGCATTATCACGAAGTGGACTTACAACAGACAGGCAAATTGTCCGGAAAGAAATTAGAATGTTACTTCGATAACAATGTCCACTCGGGTATTGATATTAAATGTCCGACTGGTGAAAATGTCAGAGTAAGTGATATATTTTCTGCATTGTATTTTGACCAGTGTCAATATAAACAGAAACATTTTACAGATATTATTGATACTATGAGAATTTACAAATATATTTTAATTAGAATTTAAATTACATATATTCGCATTTATGTAATTTTTCAGACAAATGATTTTCGGACACTTTCCGTTGCAGTGAATGCCTTATGCCAAAATAATTGTGAAAAATTACCAGGTAAGTATTGAATAATATTTTACTCGCTTTACGAATATTATAAATACAATATTTTATGTTCCTATCGAAATTACTTTACTGCTATAACATTAAATTTTTGCATATAACCCATACAACCCTATACATATGTATGGAGAATTTTAATTTACTTTAAAATTTAGGATGCTATAAATGCAATTCATTTAATTGTACCGTAAAAAGAGATTTATTTTATTAAAGATATTTTCCTTATCTTTGTATGCGTATATGATATAGACGATATTTTAAGTATCAAACTGCATCAGCATTTGCATTGTCGTATGTAATACTGCCGATTAATTGAAGTAGCCATGACCTCGCTGAAATGCACTTTTTAGTGAAATTGTTTTATAAAAAAGCCAGCAACAGTACGAAAATACTTCAATAGTCCGACATCTTAACCATTCGATACACGATCCATGAGTTAGGAGATTTATGTCTAACACTTAAGCAATTATATAATCAGTCAGGGGTTTGTACCAAAACATACAACATCATAAGCATAATAGGAAAATAAAATTTTGAATTATATAATATAATATAATTAAACTCACGGATTAAAATAACTTAGAACCCGATGCAAACTAATTCATTTAATAACAAAAATAAGTACGTTGTACCAATACGTTTATTTTCGTTTTTGTTTATCTATTATTGATTTGATTTTCTATTGCCACTTCTCCGTTATAATTTTGTTTTATACTGATTAATTAGCTTTCATTACACGAGAAATTCGATATTATAAACAAGAAGTCTGGAAATTAAAAGAGAAATTAACGAAATTAGAGAAAATCCGAGAACAGAAATTCAGAAAAAGACGTAGTTTGAACGAAAGCCAAGAAGAATGCGAAATCTTGGTTGAGGAACAATGGAGAGAAGAACACGGTACACACCAAACAACCGGAAATTACTGCATCAAAGTAATTCTATCATAATATATTTCTTAATCAATTTATAATATCTATTTTTTCTGGTTGAATGAGCACTGCTTTTAATAAATACTTTAAGTATAGGTACACAATAAGCAATTTAAACATTTAACATCCTTAACTGATCAGAGTTTGATGTAATTAAAAAAAATTTTAAATATAAATTTAGCTATCATCTCTTGAGACGTTCGTCCGAAAAACTATTGGTTTAGTTCATGAAAATAGTCCAGGACACGGAGGTATTTTTTAATTAATTAATTATTTAAATGAAAAAGTAATACGATTTAAATATCTTGTTTGATTTCAATCGAAATCAGTTTTAGTTGGAGAAAAAGGACAAAAAGGTGAATCTGGACTGAAAGGAAATAAAGGAGATAAAGGTAAATAAAGAATTTCCCTTTCGCAACTCACATAAAAAAAACAAAAGTATTGACCCAAGTAATGTTTCTTTTTTTGTATAAATACTTCGTTGTAAGCGAAGTTTCAAAAGTGACTTTGATATTAACAACTGAATTAAAAAAGTAATTTTTATTTTGAAAAATTTACTTTAAATTATTATAAATTTATAATAAAATACTCGAGGGAGTAAAATGAATAATACTATGATCACAAATTTAAGCCTGGCATTGTGGCCATGTCACAATAAATAATCGCTGAATAGTTTTTGTTATGCTCTTAAATTTAATTTATTATTACAACTATTTCCATATGAACGACCCTGTATATTTAAAATTATACATGAATTACTTCAATTTATTTCACTTTTACCTAAATTAACTATTAAAATAAAATAATCTTAATGTATTAAATAATATATTTACAAAATTTATGATGAAAGGTGAGAGAGGAAATCAAGAAATCCCGGGAAAAGAAGGCATTGGAGGAGAAAAAGGAACTGAAGGAATACCCGGAAAACAAGGCGAACAAGGTCCAATTGGGCCACCGGGAATTTCAGGTCAAACGGGTAAATATATTAAAATAATTAATATAAAATATGGATATAGGTACTTTTATTATACAGTATTGTCTATTCACGAAATAATGGTTTTATTAACCTTTTTTAAAAGCAAAGGGAAACGATGGCATTAAAGGTAAATGCTGTATTAACATACGAATCTCATAATTTTATATTGAAAAATTTAATGAACATATCTATTTTTCTACGTTTCATTTATGTTTGGTGAGGTGAAAAAGGAGAACCAGGATTTCCAGGAATTCCAGGTCTAAAGGGTAAATAAATTAAAGTAATTAATATAAAATTTAGATAGTTGCATTATATCGTTTATTCACAATGTCATGGTTACATATACGTTTTCCTGACGTGATGGCATACCAGGACGAAAGGGAGACGATGGAACACCTGGTATTAAAGGTAAATAGAAATATACGAATCCCATAATTTTATATTGAAAAATGAATTTGCACATATCTTTTAACATTTCATTTATATAATTTTTTTTTATTATTTGTTGTAAGGTGAAAGAGAAAAACAAGGACTTCCAGGTTAAAAATAAGAAAATTAATGTAGCTATTTTTATTATATTGTCTATTTATAATACCATTGTTTTGTGAAGGTTTTCCTGGAATTGCTGGTATACCAGGTTTAAACGGAGATGATGGAATACCTGAAATTAAAGGTAAATTGATTAATTGGATACTTATGATTGTTCGTTGTAAAATAAGTTGCTTGTGTCTTTTAACATATTATTTTTTAAATGAAGATAATGTATACAATGATGATTCGGAAAAGCTAGTAGAAATCAACAAAGGAATAGTTGGGCTGACAGATCCAGTTCATAGGAATTTAAGAAAAAGATATATTAGAAAAATAAATGGATCAATAAAAAAGTAACAACAAGATTAGCTAAGGACTACTTTTCAGCATCATTCTTTGGGACTAAATAGAGGTTCCGACAAAGATCAAAAAGGCTTTGAAAGAAGGCAAAACTTTGTCTTGGAAAATTCAAATTCTTGGGAAACCTCGATTCAAGAAATCGAAAGAAAGATCGCTGGGATCCATTCATTAGAAAAAGAATACCTCAGATGGAAAACAGTCGTTAAAGGCCATGAGGTTATAGGAAAGGAAACAGCACAAACATGGACATTAAACTTACAAAACATTGGCTAAAATAAAACGATTTGGTTGCAACAAGGGCAGACAAAAGCAAGACGTTGGCTAACATCAGAAGACAGACTTATAACATATTTAGCTTTGGAGGATTACATTTATAAAAAGAGAGTGCGAACGGGTTGATACAAAAACTATCGAGAACATCGATAAAAGAGTGAAGAAACTTAAAAGTACAAGACTCATTATTTACTGTGTTACCTTACCTTAGAAGTTGTCAGGACTCCAAGGCCTGGAATTCCTAGGTTATTTGCGTTTGCCAAAACCCACAAGGAAGGTAAAGATCTAAATCTTACAGTAGAAAAGTGAGGACCAAATTTTATCTTGTAAAAACGGTTATATAAATTTTTCACCTCTCAGCTCGAGAACAGTCCATTGGTGGCACAGTATCCCGGAGTTGTGGTTAAAGAGACACAAAATCTAATGTTAATTTACGATGAGATAAGGACCGAATTAAACTATAAAAGCTTATATTCTATTAAAACGAATCCTGCATGGAAGTATTTTTAAAATTTATGCTCAGCAAGAATTCGGATTTTCTTCATTACAATGAGGTGATAGAGCTGGCTAGTCTGGTATGTTATGAATCATGTTACACTTTTAATGTCTAGCCATACAAGCAAAAAGGAGAAGTCCCAATGGAAAGTCCGGTCTCAAGAATATTATGTGAACTGGTGGTTAAAAAAAAAACAAAAAGAAAGTGTTTGTGATTTCAAGAAGGATATACTATATTTTATAAGATATAAAAGAAATAAAGAATCTGTAAAATATTTTTTAAATGTTAAAAATGAAAAATATTCAGTGTTCAATGTTGTATTTTGACATTTAATACAATAAGTTGATATTTAATTTATTGGCAATTTATTGTTGTATTTTAAATTGCTTCCACATTTTTAAACTTGACTAGTTTTTTTCTTTTATTTACTGTATTTATAATTTAATGTATATTTCAGAAGCGTTCACTAAGAAATTAATTGACAAAAAGTAAGAACTAATAGAGGCGCAAACTTCTGTGAAACAGAGGTACGCCATAAAAATTATAAATTTTCGTGTCGGGTCGATATTTGCGTCAATAGCCAATTACAACTTACAGGAGTTGGGCCAACTTCAGGCACGAAAAAGTAGGCTCATCTAACTACTGAGCTTTGAGTTTAGCTTTTTTGTCAGTGTGACATTGATTGTTGCAGTACACGGTTTATTATGTAACTGGCTGGAGGTTCAACCGTTTCCGTTAGAAATGATCCCTTACATAATCCCCATTTTGTTCGATGCGATTTTGAAGGCTCTGTGGCAATTTTTGTATGCCCATTGATACAACCTCGCCGCCAATTTGGAAACTCATCATATGCACACTATTCGATATTGCAACTTTACCGTTAAAATTTTATAAATGGTGCTTCGGGAACCTCTAGGAACAAAAATGCGTAGATTATTTAAAGTTATTCCCCGATTTTCAGTCATGGTTTGCTCAACCGTCGTGACTGTCTCGTCGGAATTGACACTCTCTTACCTTCCGCTTCTTTCTTCGTTGTGAAGTTTTCAGTACGTTCAGCTGCAAACTCCCTACACCACTTGTGGAATTTCTGACATTCTTGCACGACTCGTCATACACTTCCATCAATTAGCGATGAATTTGAATCGGATTAACATGACATGGCGGCGAGCTAATATGACATGGGCATACAAAAACTGCCACAGAGCCTACAAAAATGGAATCGATCGAAGTGGCGATTATATTCAAAAACAGATAAAGGTTCAAGTTTTAAAATGGCGTAAACTTTATTGAAAAAAAAAACTTTGTTTGTATTTTTTAAAATATAGAAGACTTTAATTTTGAGATTACCCTCATATATTGTTTATTCACAATATCATGGTCACATATACGTTTTTCAGGACGTGATGGCATACCAGGACGAAGGGGAAACGATGGAACACCTGGTATTAAAGGTAAATTTGATTAATTGGATACTTATGATTGTTCGTTGTAAAATAAGTTGCTTGTGTCTTTTAACATATTATTTTTTAAATGAAGATAATGTATACAATGATGATTCGGAAAAGCTAGTAGAAATCAACAAAGGAATAGTTGGGCTGACAGATCCAGTTCATAGGAATTTAACCCTTAACTGGTTTCTTGGGGGCCGCGCGGCCCCCACGCGTCATATTTTTACGAATTTCTAAATATCTAAATATCGTGCGCAGCTGCTATTTTATGTAATCTCATTACGTCGCGACTCTTAGCGAGTGCCAAATGTTCGGCCCTGTAGCACTTACAAGGATGGAGCTACGTACCTTCTGGGGGCCGCGCAGCCCCCACCATACCAGTTACGTTGGTTTTTTGTGGAAATGAGTTTTTATGTTTTTTTTTTATTTTTACAATTATTTTGCATAGATATCTCAATCTTGCATCAAAACTTTAAAATGACTACCAAAGAATCATTTGAACTGCTAATAGGTGATAATATTATACAAATTGCTAGATCAAGCCGAAATCTCCTGAAAAGAGTATGTTGTCATTTTGTGCTAAAAAAAATGGTAAATATGCTACTAAGTGCAACAGTTGTTTGAAATTTATTTGCAAAGTGCATAGTACACAAAAATACTATGTGATAACTCTCAAGACTGAACTACGTAATCGCGTTAAAATGTTCCTGAGTCTTAAAAATAGAACTGATTATATTACCTGTGGTTTTTTAACAAATGAAGCTATAAGAGATACTTTTTAATAAGATTAGTTTCTTAAGAATAAGAAAAAGAAAAATATCTTTGGTGAAAACTTAAATAGAGTAGATTTTTGTATTGTTAAAAAAAGCATACACCAAAAGTTGTAACAATTTTGTGATCTCTTGTAATAATTAAGTAAAGAAAATTATATAAATAAATAAAAGTTGATTATACTAAAGAAGGGTTCCATTTAGCATTTATGCACTTTTGAACTGTCACATTGTTAAACTTGCTCTCTAAAGGCAAATTTTGCTTGGGGGCCACGCAGCCCCCATGATACCAGTTACGTTTGAAAAATTTACGATACCAGTTAAGGGTTAA